GGAGGAACGAGCAATTCGAATAATGGAGAATGCTGCGCAACAGACTGGCGATATCTTTTCTTGAGAATAATATCACTGGAGAATCAATCAGCCAGCTCCTTCCCAACCGCAGAATTTCACCACGATTTGGTTGATTTCGTCGATGAGCTTTTGAAAGTATAAGGTGCTGTGTGTCAGCTGCACAAATAAACTGCGCAAAATCGAATGATAATTTTGATATTGTTGGTGAGAAATGGATGAATTTTATAGAGCTGCGGTAGCAATTTAAGGAAATGGAATTCAGATTGAAAGATTACGTTATTCAGTCGCGAAATAGGGATTTCTGTTCGATGAAAGTACTGATTCAGTGCGATGAGGGAACGACTTGAATCGGGTGAACACAAATGAACAAATGATGTGAGATATTGACAATATGAATGAACGTAGAATTGAAATTTCAATGATTGAAATGACGATACGCGTGTAGATATATATCAAATTTGTATTAGTAGCGAATTCAGAGAAAACTTTACAACACGAAGAGATGGTACAAAGAGAGAAGACAAGAAGATGTTATTCTGATATGAGTTTATTGGAGGTCATGCGGAGAAGTATAATTAGACTGATAAAGGTAACGACTTGTATCATCGATAGACGTTAAATTTGGTAAAATACGGAGTTATTAATTATGATCATGATTTATGCTGGGAGGTTATGAATATGCACGCATCGTTACGATTGCCTAACATTCAGTATCACTCATTATGATAGCAGCAATAATGGGAATGTCGATGAGAATTTTCAAATTAATAATCACATTATATTGCGAAATTGCGATACTCGACGACAACGACGAGTATCATTTATTTTTGAAATCAAACTGGAACTCTTATGAATCGAGTTGTTTCTATCGATACCTCACCAAAAAAACCTTTGATTTCCCATGAAAAGGTACTACGAAATGAGAACGAAATAAGAAGACAGTGTTTAATGCATTACAAGTTTTGATATTCGATGTCAAAAACGAATCTAATTTAATTTTTTGATGCGCATAAATCTTATCATCCACATCAAAAATAATTGTTTTTAACAGTGATTGTCTCAAATTGGGAATAACGCTTTCAGAGCGAAGAGATGAAATTCAACCAAATGCGACTCGTTCAATTTAAATTAGTCGGAGTACTTTATGTTTCATATACTTATTTTCAAAACGAAAACTGATCGAATTTGAAACGTTAACAGGTTGATAAGAAAGGCAAAAATTGATGTGACCGATACGAGGAAGGTCTGATAATTACAAGGAAAATCTAACTAACAACTGCAACAACAATAACA